CACCCCTACTGATAAAAAAAACTTTTCTGCTATCATTTTATGCTTTCTTGAACTCCCATTGATATGATCTCCCATGTTTCAAAAAATTTTCCAAGAATTCTAATTTAAGCTTTGTAAAACTTATTTGATCACGGCGATTAAATTTTTAAACTAAATTAAAATATACATTCCTAAGCAAGAGATAATTTTACTATGTTTCAGTGAAGTGGTTACGAAAACACGCGCACAGGCAAAAGAGCCGCACGTGAAATACGATGAGAAAAGCAAATGGATCTGCTAAACTTCTGACCTCTTCCTCGTTAGACGAAAATTTTCATCGCACTTGTCTGTTCGCAACGAGATTATTCACTTGCCATACCGAAGTAGCATTATTAAGATATTAAACAGGAAAACTATTCTTTACTGTACATTGATACAAAAGCTGTAACCATATCTATGATATATCACATAGATATGGTTACAGCCGAAAACATCGCGGCAAAAACATCGCGGACGAAAACGTCGCGGAGAAAACAACGCAAGGCGAAAACGTCGTGCTACAAAACATCGTGGGAGAAAACATCGCAAAGAGAAAACATCGCAGTTCTAAAACATCGTAATACAAAACATCGTCGTCGAAAATAAAGCGGTTCAAAAACTTCTCAGTTTAAAAACGTCGTCGTCGAAAATATCGCGGTAAAAAGTAAAGTGTCTACAAATCATCGCATGACGATAACATCGCAGACATGCTTTTTTCAGGTTTTAATAACTGTAAATGGATATTCCCGTAATGATTTGTGAGCGCAAGATGTGAAGGATAATTTTTACTTTCACATTTTTTTATAAACTAATAAATTTTTGCTGGGAAAATAAGAAAACTTGAGCATAGAAAATTAATGCAACTTTTAGCACTTAATAGAATTTTAAACCGATATAGTTAACTAAAAAAGGCCATTAATAAATCATTTTTTATAAAGGTTTTACTGGTAATTTTTCATGATAATTATAATCTATAAGTTGCATTTAATTTTCTATGCTTAAGTTTCCTTCTTACTTTTTTTAAGCAAAAATTTATTAATTAATGAAAAAATGTGAAAGTAAAAATTATCCTTCTTCACATCTTGCTCTCACAAATCATTATGGAAATGTCCATTTACAATTAATAAAACCTGAAAAAAGCATGTCTGCGACGTTATCGTCATGCGATGATTTGCAGACACTATTTTTTACCACGATATTTTCGACGACGATGTTTTTAAACTGCGAAGTTTTTGAACCGCTTTATTTTCGACGACGATGTTTTGTACCACGATGTTTTAGAGCTGCGATGTTTTCTCTTTGCGATGTTTTCTCCCACGATGTTTTGTAGCACGACGTTTTTGCCTTGCGTCGTTTTCTCCGCGATGTTTTCATCCGCGACGTTTTTGCCCCGATGTTATCGGCAGACACCATAGATATATACAAAATTCCTATATCCCTACGCGGTTACTAGCTTTCCCGGTTCCTCACGTAAGTCAAAAACTGCGGGATTTTACAATAAAAATGTTTACGCAATTTGAATATGACCTTTTCGCATACTCTAAACCAAGATTTTTCAAACTTCGTTGCCTTATGAAACACCTAAAACAATCATTTTCTTTCGTGGAATCCCTAAAGCTACAAATTCTTTTAGTAAATTCTACAATTATATATTTATTCCCTGGTGGAAAGATCCTTAATTTCATTGCGACTTGCTCAGAAAAGCAAATTTATTTCATATCACAACAGTAGCTATGGGGTTATAGAAAAATATTACATTACTTATGACTAATCCTTAGAATATGGTAACAGGTAGTTTGGTGACATTTTGGTAAGGCGATAAAGGTTACTAGCTAGGACTTTAGCAATATCTGAGAAGTACACAGTTCGAATCACAGATTAATTTTGTCTCAGAGAAATGAGAGATCATGAGACATGTCATGATCATGAGACATGATTTTAGCTTATAAGCATTTAGAAACAGTTTCGCTGCTAAAGTGCAGAATCGCCCACTTATTTGTTTGGCGCTTTTTACAAGAGTAAGAAGAATTGGATTTTTCTCAATTTTCTTTGACTTTTTAAGTGAAAATAGGTCTATGTGTACATGGATAAAGTCAAGAGTGTGCCATTTTTGTGCAATTCTGAGTTTTTTTTTTTTTTTTTTAAGTGAAAATAGGTCGACGTGTACATGCATACCGTGTATGTGCAATTCTTAAAAACGCGGCAAGCAGTTGCGATTCTGCACTTTTTCCCAAATTCCCACCTAATCTTCGTCATGATTAAGCATTTTTGTTCCATAAAAGTTCTACTATAAGCGTAATTCGGCTAGCAGATTGTTGGAAAAAGTGTTTATTAAAAAAAATAAAACATGCCTTTACTTCGTGAAAACAAAATGGCGTCCAAAACAAAACTAGCACGTTGCTGTAGCAGGGTTGATCGCCAAATTTTCGCCAAAAAATCGCCAAGTTACCATAATGTAAAGCTTCATCTCACTTATTAATGTAGATGATTAGTTTGGGGGCCAAAGTGATATTAAAAAATTCTTTCGAATTTTTATTTCCAGTTTCCAGAACCTTTTAGAGAAGCTGCTCTGAATTCCAAAGTTCCATTGAACACTGTTCGAAAACCGTTGTTCTACATTCTAAAAGTGCCGCCCAAACGAGAAAGTGGTTAGTCACTCTGACTACCATACCGAAGGACCCAGGTTCGAGTCCCGGAGAAGGCATGAATGTAAGTTGTCAGTCCTTTATAGCAGGCAACAGTGGCCCACCTATCACGTGGTGGAAGAAAGGGGAAGACGGGAAAATTATGGAAGAAGTGGTCTTTCATAACAAAAAGACCACTTCTCCCGACATTTAAGAAGTGGCCAATGCTTATAAACGAACACAGCCCGCCAGTGGGCAAAAAAAAAATAGTCTTATAATGCTTATAAATAAGATGTATCATCCAATATTTTATCAACAGTATGTATATTTATTACATACATTATGTACAATTTATGCAAGGAAATGCATAATTTCTGCCCCAAAACACCGTTTGTTATAACTGACAGTAGACAAAAATACGCCAAAACAATTATACCATTTGTACATAATCTTCACAAAAACAGTTATTTAATGTTAATGAGTGGAGTAGATTATATTTAATATTTATTATTATATTTATTATTCATATATATATCTATATAAATTTGAATTTAACAAACATTCTCTATTCGTATAAAGCAAATTTAAAGTTAATTAAAATTAAAATTTTAAATTATGAAATTTTAATTGCATACAAATAAATGATTAATTATTGCTGCGAACTAATTTACAATATCATTTAAATTATGTAAATTAAGTGAAAGTATCTAAAACCATGAATAAATATGTAATATTTGTAATATTCCAGAAAATTAATCCTATTTTTTTTTTTTTTTTTTTTTTTTTTTTTAAATTTCTAAGACTAAATAATTTGCATTAGTCAATAATTGTTGAGCAGGGCAGGAGACAGATCTTATCAAGGGGAAGTTGCCTCCAAACCTAACTCTACAGTTACTCAGTTCGTGTTTCGTTATCCATACAGGCATGGGTATAGTAATATTCAAAACCAAAAGTAAATCAAATGTAGTGAATTACTAAAAAAGTTAAACAAAAGGAATTCTGATAAATTTAGAAATCAAATTGAATAAGAATCAAAATAATAATTAAATGTAAATTGGCAATGTAAAAAGAATAGAAAAACAAAGTAATTTAGAAACTTTTGCCTATTTGAAAACTTCCCCGACACGAATTATGCATGTAAATCAAAAATAAACTATATAAAATCTATAAAAATTACATAAATAATACTAAAATAATACTAAAAAGGCAAGTAAATAGTAAGTTTTAATTTAATTTACCTTCTATACATTTGTATTTCGGAGAACGGAGTAGCATTTGCTAAACTAAGTGAGGTTGAGTAGATTGTTTCTGTTAACTGTATAAATAGATGGCGCTAATATAAGATAAAGTTGAGTGTTAAGCTGCTACCTGTGAGATCTATTGTATAAACCTATTCAGTACACTCTTAAGCATGTAAAACTGTGTAAAAAATTGAAAAAATTTCTACTTATTAGTTATGTAAAAATAGAGTTGCAAACCATTAAGGATTGTAAAAAGTCAAAACATTTTTTTGAAATAAAGTTCGAAAAAAATGTTTGAAGTGAAACAAATTTAATTTAATTTTATGTACGAAAAAATTTTTTAAAAATTTTGTAATTAAAGTAAGAAACTTTTTGTAATAGTCTGAATTTATTAAAACTGAATTTCTACAAGTTAAAGCAAAACTTTATTAAGTGCTGGCCAAAATTAAGGAAAATTAGAAAAAGATAAAAATCTTCACTCAATTCGGCTATAATTGAGTCTTTTGAAAAGAGTTGGCCCTTCATTAGTAAAAGGAAAGAATCCAGTATTGATTAAATATATATTTTTACAAATTAATTAATTAATATTTACAAGTATAATTCATCAACTCTTCAAAATCCTAGCTAACAGGAAGAACACAAAACAAACTTTAAAAAATAAAAAAAAAAAAAAAAACCTCCAAAAATATTAAAAAGTCACCTTTCTGAATTATGTCTGAATGCTTATAAAAATAGTGAAAAAATGCAGATAACAAAACAAATTTAAAATAATTTAATATACATATATATGTAAAATATAAAAAAATACAATGGCTTTGCTCTTCGCGAACAAACAACCTTTAATTAACTTTCTGCAATTCAGGATCTTCCCCCTAGACCAGTACCTTCTAGAACATTCGAGCGAACGGGCTGGCTGCATGGGTGTTTTCGTGATTTTTTTCATGTGTAACGTGTATACGAGCCAGTTTCCCTTAGAAAGTCCTCCAAAAAATTAGGCAGATAGCCCTAGTGTGCTTTGCCATAATTAAATACACCAACACACACACCAGAACATTCGCGCCACATATATATAATGAAAATGTACTACTCGGCTAAAAAATAGAAAAATAAAACTCACCTGATACCCAAGGCCAAGCACAGGCATCATAGCAAACATAGCTGACATGTCGTCCGGTCTAAATGAAGAAAAAAAAAGCGCAAGCAAAATATTAAATAACCAGAAAAAAAAACTACACGTAAAAAATACGATATTTTAGTACAAAAAAGCACATTTTATTTCTGATAAATACAAAATAATAAACAAAGCACGTAAATTACGCAATTTTTTCATAAACTTGATACAAAACATGGAATTTCAAATGTAACGCTTAGAAAGGGTGTTGATTATTCATTTTTTAACCAGTTATTTTATGTTAATTAGCTTTCCTGTCTTTCTCGCTTTGCATCTCATACCAGAATACTAATTTCTAGTTCGCGCGCATTCAAATGAAGGAGAAAGCGATAGTATTTAAAGGAAGGATAGATTCTAGAATCACAGCGTGTTCCGGCTGCTGAAGGCCAAGTTACTACTTGATTCTCGTGAGAGCAGTTTATCGGCGGTTGTTCTAGGTTTGAGCGAGATTCTGTGTAGCCGTTGGGCTAAGGTACAATTTACTTAGTTAAATAGAATTTGTTACTTTTGATTCGAATGATTCAGCAGCTGAAGAAGGTGACAGCGTTGAATCACTGAAAGCCTAAAACAACAACTTAATGACAATCAACGCTGTTTTTCTGACATTTATAATTTTGTAGTCGTTCTGATCGGTATAGTGTTTAGTGCTCTTGGCTGCTGTATCGTTCGTTGGATTCTGGTTTCCGTTGGGCATGGAACCTTTTTAAATGTATAGTGTCTGTGCGGTATAGGGGCACTCAAAATACATGGACAGCTAAATGTCCTGTCGACTGGTTTTGGTAGTAGGGGAAGAGTGGTGACCATTGGACCCATTCTAAGGTCTGCTATGCATCAAAATCGGGTACGTTTGTACAGACATTAGGATTTTTTTGGAAGCAGGCAAGATGAAAAATGAGCAAACGCATTCGCTGGGAATCGAACCACGAACCTCTGGAATACCGGCCCAGCGTGCAGACCACTACACCACGAATGCACGCTAGGAAAGCGGGAGAAGTACCTTATAAGCTCCCAGTCCTCAATGCCCATGCGAACGACAGGCGAAATCTTGCGCCGCTAGCCGTGATAAAATCCGTGGACTTGTTCTGATTAGACCAGACAAGTGAAATAAATTACAACAGCATAATTTAGTCAAGCCCATGCATGGCCGCATGATGTGATAGTTTAGAACGTTTAAGGAAAAAAAAAGATGCACATACATTTATAAGTTTAAAGTAAAATGCAACATTATAATATAAACTGAAAATTAAAATTTTTAGTTAATTAATAGTATTAAAGAACAAAATTATTTTTAATTATACTAGGCGTCAAAATAGTATACTATAGTGCTTAACGTAACTTGACAGAGATACTGAATAAAATTTTTTAGTCCAAAGGTATTTGAGTCCCGAAGGACTATTACTTTCGTTTTGGCATTTTGCGTCGGACTCCTATAAATGTAGATTCACTTTTCAAACTGTTGCCACAAAATGTTAGAGTCCTGCATTATATTTGAAGAAATTAAATAATGAAAAATCTGCATAAATGTATGTATATTTCTCGCATTCTGATAAAACCACGGTATCTAGAGCCATCCAATTTTGAATGACGTAATCCTACTGCGAATATGGGCATCTGAAATCTCAAATTTGAAATTTGGAATTTGTTTTATATCGATTTCATATTTCGTAAAACTTTAGCGAATTTTTGAGTAAACAATGGCAACACTCTACGGGAGGAAAAAAAACCTTTTTATCTCCAGAACTTTTAGAAACTGTATATTGGAAATTCTAAAGATAGGCTCATTTTAATTATTTTGCGACATTGCTATTGAACTAAATTTTATGGTTTAAGTGCAAAGAACATGATATTTAATAAATAAAGTTAACACACAAAACGTTAAAAAAAACGCCCCACTGAACGCAATTTAAAATCTGAAATATTTCAAATTTTTTTTCCATATTTAATTTTTTATTCAAAATTCGACTAATAGAGCACTGACGTGCTTGAAATGCGTAATATATTCAAGGTAACAGTTTTGTACCTGTATTTCAGTCATAAATGTGAAGTATTAAAGTAGCAGTTGTCCCTTGATCAACGAAGATGTAAACAATCTCGTTTTATTAAATGATTTAAATTTATTGCGATCGTTCTTTGAGCTGTGAAACAAAATTAACATTGGTTGTGAATATGATTTAGTTCCTTAAATTATCACTGAAAATTAATGCATTCTTTTTGTAATAAAAATAACTTCTCTATTTCTTCCTATTTTAACGGACTGTTAAACTCTCACTGACCACCACGTGATTTGCGCATGCGCGCAGCAAACACTAAAACCGAACTTTTAGAACTCGTGATGGACGTTTCAGTGAAACATGTAATCCTTCTTTTCTGTGATATATATTAGTTTAGAGATGTGATTTGTAAATTAAATATCTTATTATCTTAGAAGCCTCTCTTTTCGTCTCTGAGTAGTGCTTTTGATGAATGTAATTAATAAAAACTTTCCCGGAGATACGCCTTTGGAACGACAAATAAGATAGGCTAAAAGGTAAGCCTTTTTTATCTTTATTTTCTAAGAATGATTATGCTGTTAATCATAACATGAAAATTACACGAACATTTACTTTTTGTTATCATGTTTTTGCCCTTTGTTGTTATGTTTACGATAAAGAAAGGCTGCCCAACCAGGATAGTGCTTAGTGACGCTGACTTGCCGTAGCGAAGAGTCTGGGTTGGCTTTAAAGCAATTCTCTAGAAAATTGTTTGGAAATGTAATTCACTTTGATATAGATTTTCAATGTTTTGTTTAGAAATGAAAATTAATTTAGCTTTCAGTGAGCGGCGTTATGCAATTTAAAACCTGAAACTTACAACGTCTTGATAGTCGAAGGCTTCACATCCAGCTTGAAATAACCATACACAGTTAAAAACACAGGATACAGCATTGCAAAAATCCCAATGGATCTGAAAAATAATAAAATATTTAATAATTATTTTCTTATGAAAAATATTTAATTATGCATTCATATGAAAGCAAATATTTACTAATACATATAAACTTACAGAAATACAGCAGCAGATGATACACACAGAATGCTTAGACTTAAAATATAATGCATCCATCAACACCATTTTCGGTTTCAATATATAATTAGTACTAAGCGAGTGACAGCTTTGATACCCAAATTATGCGAAGAGAGAATTCTAGCGAGTTTTGCTCACTGACAAGCATCTTGATAAAGCACGTTCAAGAACACCTTCTTCAGCGATTGCTGGACGGAGAATGTCCAACGAAATGGCTTTCAAAATTCCGTATTTTGCAAAGAATGTCTTTGCCTGTCTTAAATTTCTTTCTTTCGAATTTCGTCAAAGACAATACATACATTCGTGTTATTTGAAAACGTAGATCCCAGACGTATGTTCTGTAGTTGAACCATGGCATGATCTATAGAATATAAAGTAGTATGTATATATTATAGTGTCTATAGAATAGATTACAGTGTCTTTAAGATTACTGG